CCTGCTGGGTACTTCTCTGTAAATACTCCTTATGAGCGATTATTTTATATATATATATATATATATATTGATAACTATTATTTTTAAAGAATTAAATTGTTTACAAATTTTCAAATATTTATATTCAGTTAAATTATTAATAAAAAAAAATAAGAATAAATTAAATTCTATTTTAATATAAATAAAATGATTTAAATCTAGCTCATACTCTCAACATCCTACGGTTGCGGGTATGTTGAGGGTATGGATTTAATATAAATTTCAAAGAATTAAGTTGGATGGTTACGTGACTATGGATGTCAAAATCACTTTTTGTTCATGAAGAGCTCGCGTTCGACTTGCTAAGCAAATGAGACGAACATGAACAAATTTTTGGAGCTCGATGTACAAAAGAGCCGATCACGAACAATGATATTTTTTGTCAAGCCCAGCGCGACACGAAATACTAAATGAATATATCCGTGAAAGAGTTGGGCTATCTCGCCTGGCATATAAAATTAGAGAGAGTCATTTTAGATGATTTGATCATACTAAATGTTGACCATCTTATTACCCAATTAGTAGAATAGATGTTTTAAATTTGTCTTGTGCTAAGGCATGCAGAGCTATTCCAAAAAAGACTTGGTGCAATTTCAATTATTATGCCTCACTATAAATTACATTTTTAAAAAATAAAAAAAATTACGCATCTTATTTTATGCAATTCAAGAGAATCATGGGAAGAAAATTAGAATATGGAACTTTTTATCCCTGGAAATAGGGTGTAAACGAACCGAACATGAATGAGTAGAGCTTGTGTTCGTTTGAAATTTAGTTTATTTGAAATAAGCTCGTGTTCGAAATTGTTCGTGAAGTCACTGTTAGTGTTTATTTCTTAACGAACGAACCGAACATGAGCCGAACACGAGCTATTCGCGAACGACGAGCCAGTTTGACATCTCTAATATTAATATATTTAAATAATATATTATATTAATTACATAACTTATATTATATAAATATATAATATATATATTAGTATATTATTATTACTATAGTATATTAATATGTTATTATTATTAATTTATTATCTATTATAATTAATAAAATTTAATTTTTTCTGGTGTTTGGTTCATTTAACTAACATACAAAAAAAAATTTATTCACGTTCATCTCATTTATTTATTGAACGAATCGAATACGAACTCAGACGAATCGAAAATGAACTGTTTGCAAACACTTGAGAGCGCGGACTTCCAAAACAATATTTGGAGTTTTCTTTTACGAGGAGCTGTTCTTCTCGTCTAACATAAATTGAGTTTTACATGTAAAATAAATTACAAAAACATCATAATTTTAAAATATTTTCCTAAACTGATAGCTACAAAAACAGTTTTAAAATTAATCAAAACTTAATATATTGATTATATGTCATCTTAGTGCATATTCCGTAACTTCATTTGATAAAATATATGTATTACAGTAAACTTCGTGAATCCTTCAATTATAATAATAAATTTTGTTATTATTATTATTATTATTATTATTTTGGCAAATTAAATTATTAAATTTAAGTTATTTGAGCTAATTATTATTATTAAAAAAAATCATGGAACAAGCACGAATCGTGATGCAAGATTTAGATTGAAAACTATCAAACCCTAATTTATGGTCAAAAGTGCAAAAGAAATCCATTAATGACTTGAGAAGTGGTCCGATCCGAAAATGGATGAAATCAAATGCAGCACATTAAAGTGTGATTGAAAACTTCCAAATAATTACATCTTTTTGTTTGCTTATAGTCAAAACTAATGGGCCAACCAATCTATAATCACTCAATTTTAATCAGCATTGTTATGATACTTGATACGCCTCCAACAAATTTTCATTATCCTGCACGAATCTTGAGGTTGACACGAATCTCGAGATAATTTTTTAAACAAGAAATATTCAAACTTCGATCAAGAGTCATCCAGAACTCTGATTTCAACAAGCTTATAGTCAAAATGATCAGTTCGATGAGACGAACCTAATGATATGAAAGTCATTATAATCCGAGTCAAATCAATCACAAATCAAATCATTAAATCAGTTAAGGAGGAATTTCCGAAGGCATTTGAAAGGTCAAACAAATGTTGAATCTAG